ACACACACACACACACACACACACACACACACACACACACACACAGGAAATTACATTCCCAAATAACGTGTAAAGAGTCATTTATAACTTAGTCATTTATGATGTAAGTTGGCAGTAAATCTACCAGTAAGGTATCCCAGTCCATAGCTCAGGATGCTGCTGCACCATCTGCTGGTTGTCATAGGCGACGATCACCTGACGACCTCGGGACCAACAGGAACGCAGCGTGGGGACGTCCTACAGTTATACAGTACACACACTTAAACTGGCTGGATTTTTATCCGGTTCAACAAACAGATCCTAATTTAAGAATAAAAAGATGTACTTTAAGAAGTTGATTGATCATAAATCATGGTGCTCTTGCTCCCTTAGATCAGCCTGGAACAATCCTGAGGGATTGTTAATGTTTTGGTTCTGATAAGAACCAAGGCCTTTCTCTCTCAGGCCTGCTGCAGGCTGCTCAGGGCCTGACTGGACTCAGATTGAGAATATAGTTTTTCATAAGAGATCTGCTGGTTTTCTGCTATTTTATTCAGACTTCCTATTTATAAAACATGATTTTGTTACATATTCTTGTTCTGTTTTAAGTAGCAAAACTGTAGTTTGAGTTGCAACGAGTCAGTTCCAGCTTCTTCAGCACAGACATGAAGCGCTCGGAGTTCTTCACGTTGCATTGAAATACAGTTTCTTTGTATAAACGTTTTCAGTCTTTACCTTTGGAGGGAAAAGCTTCTTGTTGAAGAGAGAGATGATGAACTCCACCAGATCTTGGTGGTCTTCATTTGTCAGACATTCAAAGTGTGAGCAGGAAATGATGACAATCTCTTTAGGATGAGCTTCCAGCCACATGTCCAGTTCATCCATAGCCTCCTGCATACAGATTATTGTCCATTAGAAAAAGATACAGTATCTTAAACCAGTGTTTCCCAAAGTTGGGGTCGGGACCCAAAGTGGGGTCCCGAAACGTCAAGGTGGGGTCCTGAAAAGATTTTCTGAATTAACTATTTTTGCCTTAGTTGTTACAAAGGAGTGAGGTTAGTATATTTAAAATGGATAAATGTAGTATAAAAATATTGTTACTGTGCCCATGTTTAG